GAAGGGAAGGAGGGAGGGAGAGAGAAAAGGGGGAGGGGAGAGACGGAGTCAGTCTCCTCTCATTTAGAAAGATCTCCAGTACCACATAATACATGTTACAGGAGGACAAAAAATAATAACAGCTGTTTTTATTGCCTGCTTTGTCAGTGGAGTCTGAATAATGCAACATCTGATCCCCCAACAACTCTGTAAAAGGAAATGTTATCATTCCCACTTTACAGATGAGAAAACTGGGCTGATGCTAAATGGCTGGTCTAGGATCAGTGATTAGGGGATGTTCCTTTTGTTGGGGATGGGGGCAGGGCTGTCTTTATTAGACCTTGAAAAAATGGGTCAAATTTTGACAGGAAGGAAACAAAGGAAGGGCATTCAAGATAGAGGAAAGAACAAGATCAAAAGCTGAGAGATCTAAAAATTATGACTTGTTTAAGAAAAGCAAAGTTTTACAGCATTAGAATACACGTGGAATTGGGATAAAGGGTGGTGGTGGTAGAAATGGAAGAGGAGGTAGAATTATGAAGGCTATTCAGTGTCATACTACTGATGCTAGACCTTATCCTAGAGGTAATAAGCTTTTGAAGATAATAAGATAGTATATGAAAAAAAATATTTAGAATGCATATGGTAGCCTCTAGATCCAAGTGGCTACATATCAATTTGAAGTCAGTTATATTTAAAATTGAGTTCTCCATTCACACTGGCCATATTGGAAGTTCTCAGCAGCCACACGAGGGTAGGGACTACCATATTGGACAATGCAGATATATAGCATTTCCATCATTGCAGAAAGTTCTAGATAACAGTGTTGCTATTGAATGATGATTCATATAGAAAAGTAATTGTATTTATTTATTTATATTAGAGACAGGGTCTTGCTCTGTTGTTCAAGTTGAGTGTAGTGGAATGATTACAGCTTACTGCAACCTTGAACTCCTGGGCTACATGATCCTCTTGCCTCACCCTCCCAAGTAGCTGGTAGGCTGGCTACTTTTTAAAGAAATTTTTGTATAGGTGGGTCTCGCTATGTTGCCGAGGCTGGTCCTGAACTCCTGGCCTCAAGTGGATCCTCCTTCCTTGGTGTCCCAAAGTGCTGGGATTACAGGCATGAGCCTCTGCACCTGGCTCATATGGAAAGGTAGAAAATGGATTAGAGATAAGAGAATCAGAATCTTAGACAAGTCTAAAAACTATTACAATATTCTGAGCAGGACATGAAGGTGTGAAGTAAGTGGTCACAGTGTGATAAGTGAAAAACCAGGTAGATTCAGATGATATTTCACAAACCTGATCAGCAGGATCATGTTATCAATTAGCTGTGGAGGTGAGAAAAGAGCAAAGTTATAGGTAACTGAGACTTCTAGTCTGGGTGACTATGTGGTGATTATAAATAGTGTCATTAACTGAGTAAAAAACAGAGCATACATATTTCTAGCAAGTTTGGGATGAGTTGACAGAGGCATATTTGGTTGAGGTGACTGGTAATCTGTTAAAATGTGTTGTCTAGAACTCAGGAAACCCTCAGGATTGACTAAAGAAATAAATGCAAATATCAGCAGCGTCTCCTAGAATGGTGCTCACCAGACTATCTTCTCCTTGCAATCCCTTGAAGATCTTAAGTATGATTCCTTAAAATTCTGTTCAATTGCTGAGTGCCAGAAGTTTCCATGTCAGAGGTCTCTGCGAAGCTGTATTATTAACAAGTACTGTGATTGATTCTGATGCAACTAGTTCATGGACTGGTGTTTGAAGACTTTTCTGGAAACAGGAGAAGTCATAAGAGTAAATGAGATCACTCAATAAAAAAGTGAAAATGTATGAATAAATCTAAGGAAATAACTGCAGTAAGAAGTAGGAAGAGAAAGAACTCAAGAAAGAACAGTCAAAAAGCATGGGAGGAACTGGAAGAGAATTAGGAGCCAAAGGTAGAGGTGTTCATAGTACCAAATGCTAAAAATTGAGAATTGTCTCCAGTATTTAGTAATCAGGAGAGCACTGGTCACTTAAACAATAGAGAAAGCAAGTCTTCAGAAACTTGTAGAAAAATTGCAGACTTGGGGTAAGCCTTTTGGGTCCCCTCCCACATGTGGGAACTTTTCTGTTCTCTCAATAAATCCTGCTTTCTCACTAAAAAGAAAGAAAGAAAGAAAGAAAAATTGCAGACTTGTGTCTTATACTTCACAAAGCAACTAATGCATATATTAAATAATTTTTAAAATTTTTATTTTAAATTATTACAGGTATAATAGTAGTATATATGTATGGGGTACAATCATATAATGTGCAATGATCAAATCAGGGTAATTGGGGTATATCTATCACCTCAAGCATTTATCACTTATCTGCGTTAGGAACATTCCAAGAAAAAATTATGGCACTTGTTAAAGATGGTAAGATAGGCCGGGCATGGCGGCTCAAGCCTGTAATCCCAGCACTTTGGGAGGCCAAGGTAAGAGGATTGCCTGAACCCAGGGATTCGAGACCAACCTGGGCAACTTGGTGAGACCTTGCCTCTACAATAAATGAAAAAAAAAAAATTAGCCAGGTGTGGTAGCACGCACATGTAGTTCCAGCTACTTGGAAGGCTAAGGTGGAAGGTTCTCTGAAGCCCAGCAGGTCGAAGCTGGGGTGGCTATGAGCGTGCCATTGCACTCCAGCCTGAGCAATGGAGTGAAACTCCAACTCAAAAAAAGATGGTAAGGTAGACTTCTATATTCAAAGGGGAGGCCATAGTGATAGGTGTAGGAACTGCTGCAGGGGGCTTACAGTGAGGGGAGAGATTGAGCTCAACTCCAACATGGACAAGTGGGCACTTATAACTTGGAGCAGGGTGGGGGTCACAGGATAGAAAATTACTAAGAGGAAACATCATGGATAAGAGTTTTGGCTAAGCTGACTTGATAGGATTATCGCTGAAGGCACGTGATGAGATATCCAGGGTGGTCATATAGGGGGTAGGGGGTGGGTTTGACAAACTGACTTAGCAGGATTCTTTCTCAATCTGGATTCTACATGGACAGAGGAAAGCCTGCACTTGGGCCTAGTCAAGAAGACTCAGAGGACCCTGACTAAAGTTTTGGTCAAAGGAGAGTGTGTTTGTTAGATTAAAAATAATATATGATAACAGGGATATTCACTCACTGAATATGCCCATTAAAAATAATAATAATAATAAAAACATTTCAAGTTAAAAAACACCGGCAACAAGATGGTGAAAGGAATAACAATCGTTACTACTTCATTAATGGGTGGTTGGGAGCTGGTTTCAGTATTGTTCTGCATATAAGAATCCCTGGGCTGGGGAGCACAGGGCAACTTGTAGGGAGGAAAGGAGAGGAAATATGAACAGAGTGCTTCTAAATTGTGTTCTGTTTTCCATAATCAGTCTGCCCCCCCCCACCTGTCATAATCACTTTCACTCTGACTGTATCTATAAGAGGTTTCGTCAGGCTATCATTAAGTGGGGACTTGGTGTTTTAGGACATCTTACCATTTTTTATTCTTTTCACTCATTGTAATTCTGAATTCAAAATAATGTTGAGGAGATGTTTAGGCACATTTCCTAAAACAAGCAATGAAGGAAGGGCTGGGTTTAAACTGAGTGACTTCTCACAACATCTCAGATTTGGTATTTCTGTGTTGGAAGGTTTATTTTTCCTTGTGGGTGTGGAGAAAATGTGTCCATACTCAGAAATTTAGAGAAAAGAGAAAAAAGCCTCCTATTTCCAGAACCACATAGATTCCCAAGTGTCTCTCATATAAATTTTGAACTCCTACAGATAGAATCCAAGATCTTTAATTAAGAGGTTCCCCATTACCTCTTTTTATTCCTCACCATTATCTCCTCAGATTATTTTCTGAAATAAGCCTGATTTCAACATTCCATCCTGATGTGCCCACAAGCAGATTCATGCTGTGCTCCTCTCACCTTCCTTTTCAGCCAAATAAACCTATTCGGAGGAGCCCACAGCGTTTCCAGCCTGTAGCTTACCTCACCAAGCCAAGTGACACCTTTCTTCAGGGACTTATAACAATACGGTCGTCAAAATTTACTTCCAAGAAACATTAACAATGTTCTACCCTCACCTGATTCTAATTACTACAAGCAGGAACATTCACATCCTCTGCTCTTAAATTAATCTCACTAAGTTAGTTTTACGTGCTAATTAAGTGAAATTCATCAGCAATCAGTAAATTCATTCATTAGTGCTTTCTTTCTTTTTTAAAAACATGTTTATAATCAATTCCACAGTTGGTTACTGAATGATAATTAGATATTTCATAAGAAATTAGGCAATATGAAAATGATTTGTTTAATGGAATTTTCTTGGGGAAGGAACTAACATTTGCCAGGGTCAAACAAAGAATGGACAGGCATCAATTAAGTTGTAGGCAGGAAGTTATAACAACTAAAATTTGGGGAGCATTTAGAGGTGATTGCCAACTTCACTCTCTCCCCACCATTTTCCCCTTCCTCATTTCACAGTTAAGGAAAATAAGGCCCAAAGTGGTGAAATAACTTATTCAAGATCATACAGCAAGATAAGAAAAGAGCTAAGCCTAGAATGAACACAAGTTTGTCTTTCCTGTACAGTCCCCAAATCAGCTTAGTCCCTCTAGGGACTCTTGCCTAGGACAGCTACACTTAATATATGTCCTTAATTGAACAGTGAGTGGGAGGGTTGGAGCTCTCCATTCTGTTGCAGTGAGCTATGCAGTCTAATTCATCTTGTATTTTGGGTTATGTAATCCAGATGAGAGGAGACTGAAAGGATTTGGGATAGAGTCAGTGATTCTTCCATTTGGTCACTGTTCTCCAGAGCACTCTTACAGAGGGTGATAATAATTAACATTTACTGGGTAAGTGCTGTATACCTGACACTCTGCAAAGCACTTTATAGACATTCTCAAATAAACAACTTTGATTCTTATAGAGGAGAACAGGAATCTTTGGAAACTAATTCAGGAAGGTTAAAAAAAAAAACAAAACTCTTATCTAAAAAATATGGCTTGTGGACAGCAGAAGAGTCAGTCTCAGCAGAACAATGCCAAAAAGCAAGATGGACAAAAGAAGAAACAAGAACGTGACCAAAAGTCCGTTGCCAAAGCTGCCTTAATATATACCTACCCTGTCTGTGGGACACAAATGCCAGACCCTGACCCCTTCAAGCAGCACTTTGAGAGCAATCATCCTGACTCTACTTCCTCCAGAATTGACTGAAGTTCAGGCATAAAGTTGTAGGCGAATTCATGACACCTTTGACTCTTCTACTGTCTCAGACTTCAGGAAACAAACCTGCAGCTGCTTTTCTAACAAACTTGATCAGCAAAGATAAAAGGACCGAAACATTCGCTGTTATGCTGTTCCCTTTTGAGCTTCATGCAAAGACAATTCTGTGTAAATACATAGTTGATTCTGATTTGGAAATCTGAAAATCAGTCCATCCTTGTCATAATTGTTTTTTTACAATTGTGATTATATTGGTGTTTATATTGTGTAAAATAACTCATTTAGTAAAGCAGTACTTTGATTTTACCACATCAAACAAAACAAAATAAAAACAAAACTCAGAAACAAATAGACAACTTTGTAGGGAGATACTTTTATTATTTCAATCTTAAAGATAAGAAAACAAAAGCTTAGAAAAGTTAAGTTCCTGGCCTGGGACCAGGCAACTAGGAAATAATTGAGCCAGATTTAAACCCAGGTTTGTCTGACTTTAAGACACATGTTCTTAACCACGGCTATTGCCTGAATGTTTACCTCCCACACCCCCACTTCGAATTTGTATGTTGAAACCTAACTCCCAAGGTGATAGTATTAAGAGGTATATAGTCTTAAGACATTAGAAAGGTGACTAGGTCATGAAAGTAAAGTCCTCATGAATGGAATTAGTGCCCTGATCAAAGAGACCTGATGGAGCTTATTTGCTTCCTCTGCCATGTGAAGATGCAGAAAGAAGTCACCATTTTTGAAGAAGAGAGCAAGCCTTCACCAGACATTGAATAAGTTGGCACCTTGATCTTGGACTCCCTAGCCTCCGGGAACTGTGAGCAAAAAATCTTTGTTGTTTATAAATTACCCAGTCTAAGGTAATTTGTTAAAGTAGCCTGAATGGACTAAGACAACCACTGAAGTAACTGAAAAGATGGACTCCAGTACAATTAATTGATTTTTCCATCCTTAATCTTGTCATTTAAACTTGGGAATGATAATGTCATCTTCATGTGTTTGACCCTTGATATTTTGAAAGTCCTTTCACATGATTTTCTCTTTGGATCTTTGCAACAACCCAGTGAGAGAGCTGAAGAAAGGAATGAGTATGCATCTTTTAACAGCCCCATCTATAACTGATGGATATCAGTAAGTACCTAGTAAACTCCAGATGTCAAATCAATAGAAGTGTCTCATTTTTGTACTATCAATCTTCAGGGTGCTCGAGTGACCACCTGGGTATGAGGCAACCTGCGGATATGGGAAGCATGCTACTGGGAGTCTGTCTAACTGGGTCATATTTCTGTGTGTTTCTTAAAGGATATCCAGAGTCTTAGTAAGCTACCTATAGTCATAGTTATTGACCCCGAATCTTTTGTCTCCAAAGATCTTGCTATTTCCCATTTGCTTGCTTCAGTAATCAGTAACCTCCCTCCCCGGCCTTTTTTTTGAGTCAGAATCTCACTCTGTCGTCCAGGCTGGAGTGCAGTGGTACGCTTACAGCCACCCCAGCATCGACCTGCTGGGCTCAGACAATTCTTCTGCCTCAGCCTTCCTAGTAGCTGGAACTACAGGCACACACCACCATGCCCAGTTAATTTTGTTGTTGTTGTTGATTTATTGTAGAGATGAGGTCTTACCAAGTTGCCCAGGCTGGTCTTGAACCCCTGGGCTCAGGCAATCCTTTTGCCTCTGCTTCCCAAAGTGCTGGGATTATAGACATGAGCCACCATGGCCAGCTATCTCCCATGTTCTAATGACGCCCTAGTCTACATTTTTTCTAGCTTAGATCTTTCTCTTGAGCGCCACACATTTTCCCTGTTTTTAGAACATCTCTGCCTAGATGTACTGCTCAAAATCAATGTCTACATATGAATGGACACTTTTCACAATAGCAAAAACATGAAACCCACCCAGATCCCCATAAAAAGTGGACTGGATAAAGAAAATATGATACATATACAAGATGGAATATTACGCAGCCATAAAGAAAGAACAAAATCATGGCCTTGCAGCAACATGGATGCAGCTGGAGACTATCATACTAAGTCAACTATCACAGACACAAATAGCTGAATACCGCATGTACTCTCTCATAAGCAGGCCCTGAACACTGGTTACACAAGCACAAGGGTGGGATCCGCAGACACTGGTCAGTGCTAAGGGAGAGAGGGAGGATGGAGGGGGACACGTGGCATCACACTGGGTGCCTGGTTCACTATTGAGGAGAGAGGGCTAGTTAGAATCTCAAACTACACCTGCGTGCAATCTACTTATGTAGTGAATCCTCACTTGTACCCCATAGCTCTAAAATAATAAATTTGAGTTGACTTCATCACCTCCCTACCCTACCTCATTTTTCTCCACATTTCCCCCCTCTTACTTTTCCATTTCTTCTTTCTTCTGTTGTCCAACATGATATAAGTGCCTACAACAGGCAAGCCACTATGCCAATGGGTGGGGACACAATTATGTGCAACACTAAACAATGTCTCACCTCATGGAGAAATAGGTGGGGAAGATAGAAATAAGTCAGGCAACGTAAGCACTGGAGAAGCTAATAAAAAGTGGTTTGCTGTCAGGGAGGCCAGGGAAGGCTTCCCCAGGGAATGACACTTAGGCTGAAATCTGAAGGAAGTAGAAGAGAACAGGTGGAAAGAACCGTCTATGGAAAGGGAACACCATGTGCTAAGACCTTATAATAAGTACTAGAGAAAGAAGGTCGGAAGATAGGGATGTAGAATACATGCAGAGAGGAGTAGGATGGAGACTGGGCAGTGCCCCTGTTTAAAATCCTAAATGGCTCCCAGCAACTTTTAGAATAAAGGCAGAATATACAACAGGGCTTCATCTTTTTTTCTCATCAAGCTTTGCATATGTTTATTGTACAAGCCACCAGTCTATGGTCTTCTGGGGAGACCAAGACAGTGGTGGAGTGAGGTTTAGAGCCATACTTGACTGACTCCAGACTTAGTGTGCTTAACCCTAACGTGCATAGCTCCTACTTGGGTCCATCTTATCTGGTCAAAGCCTCCTCATCCTTCTGCTTCTACTCAGCTGCTCTTTCCTTAGGAAACTTCCCAACACTTCTCAACTGGATCCAACTCCACTACTGCAAGCTTTCATTGCCCCCTTCCTCTCTAGCATCGTAGCTAGAATTTTATACTTTTTTTTTTTTTTTTTTAAGTAGGAGTCTCACTCTGTCACCCAGACTGGAGTGCAGTGGCACACTCCTGGTCACCACATCCTTGACCTGCTGGGCTCTGACAATCCTTCCACCTTAGCTTTCCAAGTAGCCAGAACTACAGGCACGCACTATGCCCGGCTAATTTTTTGATTTATTGTAGAGACAAGGTCTCGCCAAGTTGTCCAGGTGGGTCTCGAACCCGCGGGCTCAGGCAATCCTCTCGCCTTGGCCTCCCAAAGTGCTGGAATTACAGGCTGAGCCACCAAGCCTGGCCAGGATTGTATACTTAATTGATCATAATCAGTCAAGGTAGGCTCTCCATGAAGGCAGGATCTGTGTCATTTTTGGTTTTTTACTATTATTATCCTTTTTGCCTAACCCAGTGCTTGTCAGTAAATGCTTAATAAATATTTGGCTGCTGGATGAATATATAAATCTATATATCTTTTCACAAGAGTGTGATTGTATTGCAAGGTTTTTTTTTTAACCTAACAATATCTTTTTTAGGCCAGTGCTAGTTTTAAGCTTCAATATCTTAAGCTTAAAAGTACCCCTGGCCTAAAAAAATCTTCAATATCTCATATGTCAAGCTAATTGCTAAGTTATTTTCATTGTCTCCTTTGATTCTACATATGAAAGAACTGAGGGTCAGCGTGAGATCCAATAAGCTGCTCAGATCACCCAGCAGGTTAATGGAAGAACAAGGACACGATTCCAGGTCTATCTATATCTGAAGGCTTTACTCCATAACTCGACCACGTTACCTCCATTCTTATAACCACATTTCCAAGTCAACCAATCCACTGTGGCATCATTCCTGATGCCACTGTGTCAACTGTAGGGATATAATAACTTGTTTAAGCAAACCTATGTTATTTACTTTTAGAGGTGGTTTTGAATTTTTCACATCATAAAAATAGTTGGGATGTACATTCTTATGTATTTATACCTTGCCCAGTTATTTCCTCAGAATACTTGACGAATATAAAAGTCAGGCAGTTTTTAAAGTGTTTGACTCATGGGGCCAAGTTGGCCAGAGTACTACGTGAGTTTTTAGTAGCCGATTCTATTAACCTGCCTATTTGCCAAGGAACTATTTCTGCCATTGTGCCAACAAAGAAAAACACAACTTCAAAATAATCTTTTGCATTTTTGTTAATCTATTTTGGAGTACGGAAAAAAAGAAAATCAAATCCACTATAGCCCTTTTTCTTTGGAACTAACCCTGAAGACATTCTTTTAAAGTACAGAATTTATTATATGCTCCAACTTAAGACAGAGAAAGAGGAGTACATGTAACAAAAACATTCTGCTTTTGACTTGCTTGGTGTTTACTATGTATCCTGAACACATTTTCCTCCAATATATCTATGTAATATTTATTTTTAGCATAATCAAATTCTTAGTGATGGTGGAAGTCTAGAACTAAATTAACTTTGCTTACTAATATTTCAGTTGCTTTCTTTCATCTTTAGACATCTTCAGGAAGGTATCAGAGAACATCAATAAACTTGATCTACTTTGCTACAGTGAGGATTGGATGCAAGGAACAAGGAATAGAATGATGCCTTTTTACTCCCAAAGATTTAGTAATTCTGCTGTGTTCTTGGATCTGTCTTCTTTAAACCAGGTGGATAGTTTTAGTTTTCCCAGAATGCTCTTTTTGGCCCCAGTGAAAAGTAGCTGACTGGAACAGCAGCATATTAACATTTAGTTTCATAACTGATGTACTGTTAGGTGACAACACTCTGTCCACCCTCAAGCCAAGATTTCTGTTTCTTTGGAGAAGTCAAGAGAGGGAATATTTTCTATATCACAGCCTCTAAAATACTCTTTTGTTCCATTGAATGTTAAGGCTGGACTGGCGCCTTATAGATGTGAGTACTCCTAGGAATAGGACCAGTTTTCAGAAAAAATATATACATATACATTGTGTGTGTGTGTGTGTGTGTGTGTGTGTGTGTCCATGTTTCCTATGTTACCTAGGCTGGCCTTGAACTCCTGGGCTCAAGTGATTTCCC